CCAACCTCTCCCCTGCCAGTTAATAGCACTGTCACATCTTTGAAGGCATAAACTATGGAGTTCTGATTTGTCTCCGAATCAAATAGTATTCAAATTTTCTGAATTCTACCTCTGAGTACTCCTCAGTGGTCTACTCTAAAACCAGTTTTTTCAAAAAAGCCTCTAGAAGCCTTCAGATCAAGTTCCATTCACATCCGGCAACTTGCCTGCTCTCATCGGCAGTCCGACACTGCCCTCCACCCACCCCTGCACAGGCTTTGGCTCCTTCCCACGACGAATTCGGATTCTTCCCTCGCTACCAACTGAGCAGGATCGCTGATAGTGCTAACAAATCAACCTAAATTCCAGGAGGGCAGAAGTACTTGTTTTGTTCTCTGATATATCCCAAGTGACTAAGACAATGTGTGGCACCTGGTAGGCCCTCAACAGCTTGAGAATTTTCGACTTCTTGAACTATCCTCCACCAGACCTAAGTGTCATTGCTGGCCCTTAAGAAGCATCGATGGCAACTGGGCAGAGAAACCCCATATAACCTTTTAGATTTTAATTTTTATACAAGTATACATGGCAACTTATCAAGTTTACTTTATCGTTATGGGGGCCACCTCCAGCGGTGCTCAGGCTCTGCACTCAAGGCTCACGACTCCTGCTCGGGCTTGAGGGACCATCTGGAGCCCCAGGGATGGAGCCCGGGCTGTGGGCCCAATACAAGGCTCCCCGCTATCTCTCGGGCCCCATCTTCTCTTCTGAAACAAACAGAATGAACACTTCCTCACTAGAGGATCTGGATTATGTTTGACCCCTGGGTCAGAACAGAACCCGTTCTGAAAGCACAAAGTTGCTAGCTCACAAGCCTGGGGCTCTGAGCCCAGCGCTGGGGTTTCCAAGGTATTTATCTTTCTGGTCTCCACTCGGAAGCCACTTCCTCTGCTAAGTCTTCCCCGCCTAAGCACACTGCCCTCAGAACACTAACAGACAGCATGCACTGATAAACACACTTGCTTGCACTTTGAATCTAGGTCAGTTTTAGAATTCTCTATTCTCTTACAGGGCTCTTCAACAAAACTGATCAATGCTCCTGACTTTTATTCCCCGGCACCTTGGAGAAACAAGGCGTCTCTCTCTTTAAAAAAAAAAAAAAAAAAAGAATACAGGGCCAGGGACATGGTTCAGGACTAGAACACAAACCTTTCTTTTTTTTTTTTTTAATTTATTTATTTTTTTGCCTTTCGGGGTCATACCGAGTGATGCACAGGAGCTACTCCTGGTTCATGCACTCAGGAATTACTCCTGGCGGTGCTTGGGGGACCATATGGGATGCTGGGAATTGAACCCAGGTTGGTCCGGGTGCAAGGCAAACGCCCTACCTGCTGTGCTCTCACTCCAGCCCCCAGAGCACAAACCTCTTATGTGTTGAGACCATGGGTTCAATTCCTGACACCACACACACACACACACACACACACACACTCACACACGACCAAAAAAAAAAAAACTCATGGGGGCTGGAGAAATAGAGCAGGTTAAGGTGCTTGCCTTGCACCCGTCCATCCAGGCTGGATGGTCCTTCCAGCCCCACAGGAAGTGATCCCTGAGTTCAGAGCCAGGAATAAACTGAACACTGCCAGTTGTGGCACCCAAACAAAACAAACGAATAGTACTCACTTCTTCCTAGGGATGGTGATGAATGCTGAAGCCATAGAACTATGCCCCGTACATACATATTTATCATCTTTATGAGTCTACAATTCACTGATTAAAATGACAACTAGAACAGGGAACGCCACTAATGCTACTTTGATACTAATCAAGCAGCATATTATGGTTAATGCAGGTTCTGGCCCTGGCTAAATGTCTCACTAACGATAACATACATGTGACATTTTTCCACAGGCTAAAGTACACAGAGTTCCTGTTTGCACAAACAAAAGAGATAGGGATCATAAGCAATGTTAATATTAATCAAAACAGCAAGAGTTTCTGAAGGAGAAGTGGCTTTATGGAGACCGGTAAAGAATAAAGAGTCATCGGACTCATTACAACGAACTTAAAAGTCTAGTTAAGAAATTACTCAATTGTGCAGAGCCAGGAATAATCCCTGAGAACCTAAGCATTGTTGGGTGTGATCAAAAAAAGCAAGAAGAAGAAGAGGAAGAAGAGGAAGAAGAGGAAGAAGGAGGAGGAGGAGGAGAAGGAGGAGGAGGAGGAGAAGGAGGAGGAGGAGGAGGAGGGGGGGGAGGAGGGGGGGAGGAGGAGGAGAAGAAGGAGGAGGAGAAGGAGGAAAGAAAAGATTAAATCATGTAATTTGCTGCTACATGGATGAATCTGGATAGTATCATCCTGAGTGAAGTTAGTCAGAGGGAGAGGGACAGGCACAAAATGCTCTTTCTCATATGTGAGATATAAATAAAAATAGATGGAGATAAAAAAAAAGAAATTACTCAATTACAAACGTTTGAGGAGACTAGTTTCAACATTAAAAAAATTTTTTTTACAATTCAAAACTATTTTAAAGTCCATTAACAACAACAACAACAACAAACCCTCTACACTAAACCCCAAAGTAATGATTCCTATTTCAGCTTGGGGGACTCTAGGAAAACCCCCAATAAAGAAGTAGGCTCGGCTCAGGCTCTCACTTCCCCACACCTGCCTCTGGTCGAGGTCTGTGCAGTTCTCTCTTCCCAAGGGTGAGGGTGAGCACCCACACCCCATTGTGCTGTCCTGAGCACAGGTGACAAACCCAAGAGTTCAAGCAAACTCTCATCTGTGACGAAAGTTCATTCCATGGGAGGGAATCCTGATTATCAACTGTATTATCTTTGCTCTCTCCCTCTTTCACTTTTCTTGGCCTTACTGTTAACTAGCTTAGAAAGGTGCACTTTCAGCTCAGATAGAGAAGGGAGCACCAAATAAAGGGTGTTGGGAGGATCCTCCCAGGATGGGAGAAGCATGCTGAAAGTAGACTCTAGACCAAATGTGATTGCCACTTTATGCCTCTTTTGCAAACCACAGCACCCAAAAGGAGAGAGAGAACAAAAGGGAATGCCTTGCCACAGAGGAAGGGTGAGACAGGGGGATGGGGGGTGGGAGGGATACTGGGAACATTGGTGGTGGAAAATAGGCACTGGTGGAGGGATGGGTATTTGATCATTGTATAACTGAAACCCAAGCGCCAAAATTCGTAAGTCTACAACTGTACCTCATGGTGCTTCACTAATAAAAATTTTTAAAAAAAGAAAGGTGCACTTTCGCAGAACAATGCATTTTCAAGGTGTTGGGAGGGCGGGAGATGGTACCAAACATTGGTTTGGGCCAATGTGTGTTCCCGACCCACCTTTGATTCCTGCACCACAAATAGGTCAAACCCCTTCCAGCCCAACAGGAGGTCCCCGAGCGCTGCAAGGGTTGGCCTGGGTATCTCTGAGTGGCATCTCATCCTTGGGCTCCTCTTGAATCACTAGTGACGCCCCGAGACCTCCCAAGTACTGCTTGGGAACCCTGCTTCTTCTCCAGAAGAAGATCTAGGTACACAAGGTAAGGCAAGCCAGCCTTAGGGATCTTAGATGCTTCACACACCAAATATAAATGATGGAGGCAGTTAGGTGAATGAGGGTCCATCTGAGATCTGCTTCCAACTTAACGTTTCCTCTACTCAACGCTGGGCTGACCGTGGCCACTGTCCACACAGCAGTCACTAACAGTACAACGGTGCTCACTGACATCAGGGAAAAGTCACTGAATGCACTGGCTTGGATACCTGGATAAAAATGTCATTGTAATGGGGGCCAGAGAGATAGTACAGCCGGTTGGGTGTACTATCCGCCGAGGGTCAACCCAGGTTCAAACCCCTGCATCCTATATGGTCCATTGATAACTGCCCTGAGTAATTTTTAAGTGCAGAGCCAGGAGTATCCCCTGAGCATCGCAGGGTGTCACTCCAAACGAAACCAAAGGGTCATTGTATGGATGAGACGTGGCTTCAGTCCCCAGGTCCAAACACCAAGAAATCATTTTTTTTATAACATTACATTTCAACACACAAAACGCGCGCCTTTTCCTGACCCACAAACTCCTATTTCTACAGGTGCGCGGCTGTATTTATAAATATGCTGGAAGCACCAAGGATGGGGGGTGGGGGTGGGGGGTTGGGAAACCCGTTTGCTGAAGCTGGGGGGGGGGGGGCACCGGCTTTGGGAGGCCCGCCTCTGCACACTTTTCAGTCTACTTCCTCTACAAGGTGGCAGCCTTCAAGTTCTACGACGCCCTCAACCACCCATCCAAGGCCCAACAGTGCACTGCGCAAGTCACAGGACACTCACTCCAACAACGGAAACAACCAACCACCTTTTCTGGGAGTTTTCCTCGACGCTGCACCCTGCCGGGCCTCGGCCTGGGGGCTCCTGCAGCAGCCCAGGCTGCGTCCCGAGCCGGCTGCTACAAACTCACTCGCCGTCCCGGGCCGCCCGGTGCTCCCGGCGGCGCGTGCGCGCGCGGCTCGGGCTGGCCCCGGGGGCGCTCAGCGGTCGGGCCCGGGCGCGCGCCTGACGGTGGGGGGCGGGGGGCAGCCGTGCGCGCGCGCCAGCAGCCGGGACCGGACGCCCAGCCGCCTCGCCGCTCCCTCGGGCTCACGTCACAGTGGGCACCACCGCCGCGACCGGGGGGCGCGTGGGACACCCCCCCCCCCGCTGTCGCCCGGGGGGCACCCGAGGTCTCGAACACCCAACCCCAGCCCCAACGACCGTGCACTACGAACCCCCCAGGAGAGTTTGCTGGCGGAGTTGCCGCTCCGCGCCCGCGTTCGGAGGCGCGCTCCCGAGGCGCGGGCTGCAGGGACCCGAGTTCAGGACCGCCTGGAACCCCGGGCCCGGACCACGGGGGTCCCCCGCGGAAGCAGGAGAGAAGGACGCCCTCCCCCCCCAACCACAGGGTGGCGGGCCGCGGAGCCACGGGCAGGGGCGGGGACAGGCGGGCGCGGGCAGGGCCGCGCCGGCTCGCACCTGAGACGTGGCTGCGCTTGGGGCGCGGGAGGCCGGGCGCGCTGCGCGGGCTCCTCCAGCCCGGCGCGGGCGGCGGCGACGGTGGCGGCAGCAGCAGGTCCCGGTCGCCGGAGCCGTGCAGGGAGGCCGCGTCGGGCTCCCCGGCGGCGTCCACCAGCCTCACGGCGTTCCCCGGGGCGCCCTTCCGCGGGGGGGCCCAGGCGAGGCGCGGCAGCAGCGGCTCCAGCTCCTCCGAGTCCTCCTGGGGCTCCAGCTTGGCGCCGCCCGCCGACGCCACGCTCGCCGCCTCCGAGGGCTCCGCCATGGCCTCCCCCACGGCCTCCCGAGCGGCTCAGAGAGGCGAGGCGCCCGGGTCCGGGGCGGGCATGGCGCGGGACCGGGCCGCGGGGCCGGGGACTGGCCACCTCACCACGGAACAGCCGCACTCGGCGCCCGGCAGCCGGCGGCCACGCCCCGCCCCCGCCCCGGTGCTCCGCCTCCACCGGGTTCCCCGCTCCACCTGTTGCCCCGCCCCGCCTGTTGTCCCGCCCAATCCGCTGTTCCACCCCGCTGGTTGGCTCTAGGTTGCCCCGCCCCTCCGATTGTCCCGCCTCCCGTCAGTTGTCTCACCCTGATGATTGGCTTGCCCCCGTCAGTTGGCCCGCCCCATAGGTTTCCCCGCCCCTCACATTGTTCCGCCCCCGTCTGTTGCCCCGCCCCCGTCCGTTGCCCCGCCCCGCCGGTTGTCCCTCCCTTAGTGGGTTGCCCCGCCCTGCAACCGGTTGTCCCGCTCCCTCCTCCTCCTGCGTCCGTCGGTTGCCCCGCCCACCTCCCGCGGTCCGCCGCTCTCTACCTGCCCAGCCGGACGACGGCAGTGGGCGGGGCCGCTTACTTTCTCCGCCTCTCCAGTAAGACCCGGTGCAGGCGCCCGACGTTGATAAAAGCACTGGCACCGTGCAAAGTTATTACCTGTCACTGGGGTTGCCACCCTCCAACCTAGATAGGCGTCTTCTCCCGCACAATTCCCAGAGTGGATCACAGTCCGCACCTGTGTAATTACCTGTGTGACTTTCTAAGAAGTCTATGACAGCTGGTTCACTGCCGAAATTGGTAGTTGTGGGTTTACTTTTCTTCTTGCAACAGTTGTTGCACATAGAATATTACCGATTCTTTTCATCTTTTCGAAAGGTCGTTTTTAGGTACCATTGATTTTCTGTGTCTATCTTTAACTGTTTGTTTTTACAAAAGTCCTTAATCGTACTCTTTGTTTCCTTCTTCCTACTTAACTGGGGGTTGCTCTTCTCTCTAGTTGCTTAAGGAAGATTATATTTGATGCTGGACATATCTCTCTTTAAATATGTTTTATTTATTTATTTATTTATTGGTTTTGGAACCACACCCAGCCACACTCAGGGGCTACCCCTGGCTCTGCACTCAGGGAGCACTCCTGGATGTTCTTGGAGGGCCATTGGGATGCTGATGACCGGATCTGCTGCTTGCAAGGCAAACGCCCTACCCACTCTACTATCACTCTGACCCCTTAAGGTTCTTAAAGCTATGCATTTCCCTCTAAACCCTGCTTTGTCTGAATTTTGCAAGTATTTTTTTTAACAATATGCTGTGCTTTTATATTCACTCCATTCAAAATAGTTTTGAACTTCTCCACCCAATTTCTTCCCCCCCCCCTTCCTTTCCCTTATGTTGTCGCTACAGTCACCAGACAGGATGCTCCTAGCCATCCCTTGCACTCTTGGTTGTGGTACTTGCACAGTGCTCAGAAAGTGGTGGGTGGTGGGGTGCCGTGGGGTTTGTACGCTTTAGTTATGATACTCATCACACATGGTTTCCGTGCACTGGAAATCACACACTTTGTTGTAGCCTAGGGAAGCCCAAACATTTCACCCATTGGGTTCAGGAACACAAGTGGGCATGTTGGAACAATGCCAGGGATCAAACTCCTGACCCCACAGGCTTGTAAGGCAGTTGCTTTTGCCACTGAGTTTTCCCTGGGTCCTGGAGTGTTTGCTTTGCTTTATTTTATTTTGCTATCTGAGGGATTGAATTCAGGGATACCATATGGATGAGGCATGTGTTCTCTTCTGCACTGTATCCTTGTTCTGATACACTCCTTTGTTGCATTTGTTTGCTTTTTTGTTTGCTCAGGGTGATCCTCAGCCTAGGTATATGGGCCTTCTGTGTCAAGGTTGTGATGAAGTTCTGCTCAGATCCTGTATTGCTGGGATTTTTCAGGGGGGACATTCTGAGGCCTGGAGCATGAAAGACATATACTTCTGCCCTTTGAGCTATCCCCCCAGGCCCTGATTTACTTCAATTGTGTTATTAAATTTTCATATATTTGGGGGATTTTCTGGAATTGTTACTGATTTCTAATTTAATTCTATTGTCACTTGAGAAGATACATTAAAACGTAAAATGTCAACCTTTGGAAATGTAGAGGTTATGAAACCTAGTGTGTTACCCACCTTGGTAAACTTTCTGTGTGCACTAAAAAAAATAAAGAATGTGTAGGGATCAGGGAGATAACTCAGAGGGGTAGAGCACATGCCGTGGATGCGTGAGGTTCCAAGTTTGATTCTCCATATCCCATGGATTCCTCAAAACTGCTGGGTGTAGCCCTGGTGCTACTATAAGGCCTGACACTACACATTTCTGGATCCAAGCACTACACATCAGGCCCACATTGTTGAATAAAGCATCACTAGAAGAAATCTACAGTTTCTCTGAGCACTGCTTGAAGCCTCCCCAATTGATAGTCATATTGTACCTCGGGGAGGCTTTATTAGCTCAGAGCAGCAGCTGCTTTGCAAACTGAAGGCCATGAGTTCCCATGGGTGCTCTTTTCTGTGCCTGGTATGAGGTTGGCAGCTCTCCTGTCCATGACCCTCTATGCCAGTGATTTTCTGGCACCATCAAAGCCAGGACAATGTAGCACTGCAACTAAAGGGGGTGCAACCCCCCAGAGAGCAGTGCAAGGAAAAGATGTGGCTACACTATGCCAAAAAGTGCATGAACAAGTGAAGCCAACACAGCAACCTACCGAGCGGACCGCTGAAAGAACGTGTGAGCTCAGCCACAGGAGTGCAAGCCATGGGAAGACTGACCAAGTGTATGGGAACCGCGACCCTTAACAAGCATCACAACTAAAATGCATGACCCCTGGGTGTGGCATCAGCAATAGAGGGACAAGAAAGGGAAGGAATTAAAACATAAACTAAGGGCCGGCCCAAGGGTAGTGAAATATTTCAATGACAAGCTATAAGCAATTAAATTCCTTGGTTTATATTTTTTAATTGTCCTAACCCTTCTCTCACTACTACGCTTGACGAGTCTTTAAAAATAATGGCTTAGGGGATATGGTGCCACCAGCAAATCAACCTGTACCCGTGGGGTGAGTGCATCATCAGCCTCATGGTGCCTTCAGACTTTCTGATACACCCAAAATTGCTGCTGTGCCTCTGTCCGGGCGCCAATAACTCAGGACCAAGTTTCCTGAGAAATTAAATAGCCAAAAGTTAGGTATGTGGGAGCCACAGCCACAATTCACTTCCAGCTCAGCTATACAAGTTTATTTATCAGCCTTGCTTCAGAGACCCATAAATAAATTACAAAAGAGATCAAAGGCCACCGTTAATCTTGGACCTGAGCAAAGCTGAAGAGACCGGGGTAAATTGTAAGGCGGGGGGTGGTAAGCCTAGTGCCTGCCTGGCATTTGTATCCACTTGCTTCCACAGTCCAAAAGCGCCATCGTGCCCCCAGCTGGACTCCACCATCTCAGGATGGACTTCACTGAGATATTAACCTGTTGTAGGATATGAGGGGTTTGTGACTGAAATCTCCAGGCTTTCTCAGGGGTCAGGATGGGCTACCTTCCCCCACCTCCCTGTATTTTCAGAAGTCTTGGCAGTCATGTCCACACCCCATTGCTGCCACACAGTTAAAAAAGCTACTCCAGCCTTACTGTCCTGATAAAAATACCAAAAGCCCTGAACAAATATGATGACTTCTTAGTACCTGTATTGCAAACCATAATGCACAATAGGAGAGAGAAAGAAGAAAAGTGCCTGCCATAGAGGCAGACAAGGGGGGAAAGTGGGTGTTGTGGGATGGTGGGAGGGAAACCGGGGACCTTGGTGGTGGGAAATGTATACTGGTGGAGGGATAGGTGCTGGATTATTGTATGACTGAAACCGAGTCATGAGCAGCTTTCTAGTGGTCTATCTCATGGATATTCAATAAAAACATTTTTTAAAAAAAAGCTTGAGTGGCTTCTTTAACATTGATCATTTCTATAAATACATATTCAGTGAAGTATGAATGCTACTATTAGCATCACATTTATTAGTGGTATTCAACTGCTGGTTGATGGACTTGCAGAATCACAGGCATAAAAAGACAAAAACCTGGGCACTGGTGCGGCCGTCCCACCACTGCATGCTGGCCATGGAGCACTGCATCGTGGGGCCCAGGCCATACTGGGCCACCAGGCTGTGGAATGAAACAGTCAAGCTTTTTCGCACTAGGATGCCATTACGGAAACATCGCTGCCGTTTCAAAAGTTATGATCGGTGCTTCACAGCGTCTGAGGCTGTGGACTGGCTGCATGACCTGCTGTGGTGCAGTCAAAACTTTGGCCCTGAGGTGACCCGCAAACAAACAGTTCAGCTGTTAAAAAATTTCCTGAAGAATCATGTTATTGAAGACATCAAGGGAAAGTGGGGCCAGGAAGATTTTGAAGACAACCATCACTTGTACAGATTTCCTCCTTCCTCACCCCTGAAGCCATATCCAAAGAAGTTCCCATACCAAAAGGATGTTATTAAATTTCCGGACTGGACTGATCCTCTACCTGGCCCCTCTCAAGAGAATATCCCAGTGAGGCCAGTAGTGATGAATTCTGAGATGTGGTTCAAACGTCACGGTATTGCTATTGGAGAGGTTCCAGCCTGCCATCTTGTTCACTGCAGACAGCTTACAGAGGCCAATGTAGAAGAGATATGGAAGTCCATGACGTTATCACATTTACAGAAAACTCTTGGCCTGGATTCCTTGGAAGAAGTTTTAGATATTAAACTTGTTAACTCCAAGTTCATCATTCATAATGTATATAGTGTGAGCAAACAGGGGGTTGTGATCCTTGATGACAAATCAAAAGAACTTCCTCATTGGGTATTGTCAGCTATGAAGTGTTTGGCAAGTTGGCCCAACTGTTCTGAGTGGAAGCAGCCTATGTACTTAGGATTTGAAAAAGATGTCTTTAAAACTATAGCAGATTACTATGGTCACTTGAAAGAACCTTTGCTAACATTTCATCTTTTTGATGCCTTTGTCAGCGTGTTAGGATTGTTGCAGAAAGGGAAAATGGCCATAGAAGCATTTCAGATTTGCTGCCTCCTCCTGCCTCCTGAAAACAGGAGGAAGTTGCAGCTGTTGATGAGGATGATGGCAAGGATCTGCTTAAACCTCTGTGTGATGGATTT